AATGGGTCCTGGATGGCTGTCACCTGCCCATCACTGGTGGTCTGCTTACATTTTTGTCCCATTTTTATGCAGGCTTCAAATGACTACGTTATTTTTGTAGTTTTCCAATCTACTTTTTCACTGAGGCTTAATTACCTTTCACCTCTCTCCGATTGCATAGAATTTTCAAAATAACTCTTTTAGTGATGACCAATGTAAGACTGCCTTGAAGAGGTTAGATTTTTTTTCTAAACGGGTAAAACTGCAGGATGATGAGGAAAAAATAGGTCTTTAAATAAAAAAAAAACACTTTCTCCTTATGAGACATGGTATGTCAAGGGCACTTTTTATCAGCCTCTGTTATTTAACGGATAAAAAAAGATTTGGAACGTACCATATCACTGGTTATACAAATACAAGGTAAAATAGATATGCTCTATCCTTGAAATGACATGAATACAGGGCTCAGATTGTGTGTAAGACTCTTTTGGACACTGAATGAGGAAAAAAAACAAAATGTTAATCTCTTTTTACCAATAGTCTTAATGATAGATTTGTAACAAAACCTTAAACTAGACTCATTTTTAGTAAGTACTGTACACAATTTGGTTAGGAATGGGAATATATACTATATACATTTTCTCTCACATTACTTTACTTCATGCTATCAATAAATTATTTATTAAATTACACATTTATATATTTTTATCCTGGGCTGGGTTACACCTGTACGGGGTTAACGTGGAGACTGAGGCTCGTGTCCTTGAGCTACAACAGAGCGACAGCCTGTCTTCACTTTGCCCTCATAATGAAATTATGGAGGGAAAAGGGGGAGCTGAAAATTTCCTTGGTGCTCATTGTTTGTGCTCACTGACTCCAAACCTCCGTGACGACTCCTTTGTCCTGCTGTGCCGTATCCTGTTTCTCCTGGCCACTCGGGGGTTACTTTGCGTTTCCCTTGCGCTCACTCCTCCTCGTCAGCCCGGGCCACTCCTGTTTGGGTGTCCCTCTCCTGGGCTTGAATGTCGCCGCAGTCACACCCTCGCACCCACGGAGGGCTAGCGGGCGCCCGGTGATGTGCATCAAGCCTTGTAAGCACCAGCCCACAGGGGAGGTTTACCTGAACAGCATCCCTGTGCAACTAGAACGGGTGGAAGGCTTGAGTTTACAGTATTAGAGCTTGCAGAGCTTGCTTCTTACTCTGCCTGATAACATACGAATAACATTAGAATGATTACAAAAGAGAGGAGGACATTCAGCCTATATAGGCTAATTGCTGAATTGATCCGAAGATCCCATCCAGCTACTTCTTGGGGGAAAAAATGGGGTAAAATCAAGATGCTTCTAAATGATTAATTCAGCTATTTTCATTATTGACTTGTTTTGAAGCCCATTTTAAGCTGCTTATAGTCTGTATCACAGGAAGTTTGTTGTTGTTGTTGTTGTTATTATTATAAGTTTAATTAAATTTATAAAGCGCAGAAAAACTGTTTCAGGAAAAGGCAACCTCTGTTTACTTACTGCCAGAAAAGAGCAGTTATCTACACAGACACACGGCACAGACATTCAGGATTTTTGAATGCAGATTTAAGGTGTACCTTGCATGACAGGCACTGTTTTGGGTGAAATTACTAAAAGGAAACAGAGAAGCCCATGGCAGTTTCCGATTCCAGCAAAAGCACATGTTAAAGATGACACATGTACTGGGTGGCAATCGTAGTCCAGATATTCTTTCCCTTGCAGGCTTAGGAGGGTTTCATGTGTTCTCTGTTTGGTCCCTGAACAGAATTCTTTATTGGTATCAGCTGTTCGCCTGCATCCCCAAACGGCCCTTGTTTTCTCTATGTTGATTCTGTTTAGTTTGCACGTTGCCACAGAGGACACACATTGCAAATACATGATGCACTCACGTCATTTTGCTTGTTCAAAATCCATCACTGCTTTGCAGAGCTTAGCAGGAAGGCACCCAGGACAGCTTTTGTTTGCCTGACATTCACTGCGTTGTTTTCCTGCTTTTTCAGCAGGGCCTATAGTGTACTATAGTATGCTGCCTATACCACCCTGATTATAGCAGGGCCTATAGTCTACTATAGTATACTGCCTATAGCACCCTGATTATAGCAGGGCCTATTGTGTACTGTAGTATGGTGCCTATAGCACCCTGATTATAGCAGGGCCTATAGTCTACTATAGTATACTGCCTATAGCACCCTGATTATAGCAGGGCCTATAGTCTACTATAGTATACTGCCTATAGCAACCTGCCTGTATCACGTGCCATCTCCGGAGGTTTGCTCGTAGGAGACATGTTGTAAGAAGGCGTTGTGAAATAAGGAAAGAGCAAAGGAGCAAAGTCAAGATATCAGCAGGAAAAAACGAATTTCAAAAGATACTTCTGTTTGATCTTTTATCCAGCATGAATACTTGGGTTCAGTAATGGCCAGTACATGTGGGACAGCATGTTCTTCCCACCTTTGCGTGGATTAAGATTTCACAAAGACGTGCTGGTCCGGTCGACTGGCTTCTCCCTTAGGGTGCTCCTCCATGAGCACGGCTCACATTACTGGCCTGCAAGGAGAGAGCCTGTGGTACCTTTTTCCCATAGCAGGCTATGAGACCTCACAGACGTGTTGGAGAAGCGCAGTGAAGCATTGCACGCTGTTTCCAACTGTTCAGAAACAGTGTTTTTTTTACAACAAACGCTGCTGTTTAAGTCATGAATCAATTTAAGTCATGATTGAGAGTGAATATTTATATAATTCTGCGTTTTAGTGCTCTACCTAAATTGCATCAACATATCATTTCTGCCATTGCATAATTTTTATACAATCACTAGCTGATTTTTAGAGCAGTTTGCTGTAAAAAAAGAACAGATCCACGGTTTTGAAGTGCAATATCTGAAATGTACAGTTTTTGTTTGTGTGTGCTTGTCACAATACTTTAAATTCCCCAATGGCAGTTGTAAAATGCCAGAAGGTGACATGCTGAAAATAACCCCAAACAAGATTTGCGCCTTTTGTGTGTCGGGTTCCTTTTTTCTGGTGCGCGTCATTTGTCAAGCCTTTAATGACAGCTTATTTTAATTTCCAGGCAGAACTAAGCCTCTAAACAAAATACAAAAATAATAATTTCAATAAATTTAAATTATTTGCTGACAAAAAGCTTAATCAAAAGCTAAAAATGCTCCTTGACTTAAAAAAAAAAACATGCTTCATTGAGCAGTGACTATTTCAGTCAATAGGCTGTACCTTGGTAAGCACATGCCAATTTAGAAAAGAATGAACATGCAACTCCGATGGCAGATTTGAACACATGCTGGGCCCAGAGCAGAGTCCATCAACCATTTCTTTATCCAAATCAGCAGGTGACCCCAAATCAGCAGAATGCTGTTAAGTAACCTACTTGCTAATCAGCATGTTCAAAGTAGGCACAGAAAAAAAAACTGCCAATAATTTGGAGCATTTTTAAAATTGAAACATGTATTTATAGGTCACTTACTCTGCATTATATGACCAGTGCTGCCTTTTATTACAAAGTTTACATATTTGCCTGTTACTTTACAGGAAATAAGGTTATACTTCTGTTGTTTTAATGTCAAAACCTAGCAGTGAAATATGCATTCATAGCATATTTCTGTCACCCGACAACATCTTTTTTGCTTACATCCTATATGGTCTTTTGTGCAATTTTCTGTGATGATTGTTCATCTTTGTGGTTTTGTGTTTAAAATATACTGTAAAAATATACCAAATATATCACAGATTAGTTTATGTTTAAAAACCCCTCCATAAATACTCAGTATGGTATACTGTATATACTGTACAGTATATTTAAAGCCCAACTTAAATGCTCAATACACTTGATAATGAATGCTCTCTTGCACCAAAAAAAGCATATCCCTTTCTTTCTTCAGCTTATATTCATGATTCATAAATTTCCTTATTGACATTTTCTATGTAAAGGTATTTTAGCTTCTTGAATTGCATGCGAGACGTATATATTGTGCACCCAGTTTCAGCCCTACTGTATATGACCATATAAAGGTTGGCACACTGATTGTACATGATTCTTCTTTGGCCAGGTTACAGGGAAACCATCCAAACAATAAATGTAGCGATGCCAGTTTTATTACTATCCCATCTGTTCATCCAAAGGCACAGAAATGTCAAGGCATTTTCTTGTTCACACTTAAGCCTTGGAATTCCCTTCCAAAAGCAATTTGTCACTGATATTCCATGGGGAATTAAAGTCCAGATTAATTTACTCAATCTGGCTCATGATGGAGCTGATGGCCCATCTTGGTTTGGGCTTTTAGCCACCTAATGGCACTTAAAATGCTATGCCTTGTTCAGTAGAAAACATATATACTGTATATATAGTCTATCAATTTCATAGTTGTGCCATCTATTCTGGCTTATTGTCACAGAAGGATTATGACTGTCATCAACAGACATTCCTAGTTAGATTAATTTCTTTAAATTACCATTCCTAACTCTCTCCCTTCTGAGTTACCTCTGTTTTCTCAGCTCCCTTGATGACAAATGTCATAGAATACATACTCTGTTCATCTGCTGGACTGTAGCATTCTTAGCAAAAGAGGCATTCAAAGGGAGATTCTGAATGTTTGCAAGGATGCCTCCAGTCCACTGTGGACTACGAGGAGCGGTGTCGCAGATGAATAGCTAACAGAGATCTTCAAGCCCTTCTGTGTGTACACAAATTGGAAAGGGAGGAAAAATAATTTTGCTTCAAGTTATTATCCTTACCTCAAAGTGTTTCTTGGGAGCTGCTATATCTAAGCCTGTCTGCTTGGCTTAGAGGTTGACAGGTAGCTGTCAACAGAAGATGAAGCTTGTGATTCTGCTGTTCAAATTACCTTTGGGGAATATAAACAATGGGACTGCCAACCAAGTCTGTGTTTTCTCTCTTAAACCGTTAAGCTGTGGAGGGAAAAAGAAAAGAGGAGGGATTCCTTACAGGGCACTGCTGGGTAAAATAAATGGTTTGTAATTGTTTTACAGCCTCTGCCACATTTGAGGACTTTCAGATCCGTCCTCACACGCTGTTCGTCCACTCCTACAGAGCTCCGTCGTTCTGTGATCACTGTGGAGAAATGCTCTGGGGTCTTGTGAGACAAGGTCTCAAGTGTGAAGGTAAGAGACCCTCCTGTGCAACTGTTCAGCTGAAGCAAACACTAAAAACTAGACCGTAAAATGCTTATCCAGGACACCCTTAGATACACAAACATTTCACATCCATTAGTTCATCCTGGAACCTTAAGAACAAAATCCGAAACTGAAGTAGGGAACCACCACAATAAAGACGCAAATTAGTTACATAAGGTTTTTTAGAACGCTTGTTTAAAAACTCCCTGTGGGCTGTTCAGACACTCCTGTTAGATGTCGTCATTTTTTAAAAAGGTCCAAAAAATGCTTTGTGAATATTGCCGTCAGTATTTTGGGAAAAAAATTTGCTTGGAAAAATGATTCTGTCAGAGGGGATTAGAAAAAATGTCATTCTTTCCATCTGAATTCTAAGATGTTGAAGTGCTCTGCAGTACGAAAATATCCAATCAGTGTCCTGTCTCACTCTATGCTGACTGATGGCTACCCACACACTATCCTGAATTCTTATTCCAGCTCATGCAAACAGTGTAGTTACCCTTTGACTTTGTTGTGGGAGTAAATCCTAATGTGTATATTTAAACCTTTTAACAAAATGTTAGATAATAATAAAAAGGCCTACATACTGTATGAATTCTGCATAACAGATTTGTTTTGCAGAACTGATATCAGTAATTGTTCTTGAAAGTATTATAATACACCTCGTCTATTGCAGTCCTGGCAGGAGAGTCTGACCTGTGAAAGTCTTTCTTCGTTGTGAAGAAGATGATTCTGGCTGAAGAAGCACTGAGAGTTAACACTTCACTCCAAAATAAACCGCACTGAATTCAAGGGGATCATAAAATATGCCCTGCAAATGAATTGCAGACGATTAAAGTAAATAATGCTGACTTTAGTAGCTGATCTGAATTTGTGTGTAAAGAAGGAAGTGTGCTGTCACTTTGTTGAGTGATGGAGGAGGGGTGAAACAGTGGAGGCCTGTGTCTTTCTTTGACTCCTGGGCATTTCTGAACTCTTTCCCACTACAGAAGGCATCTTTGCACTTGTTCAGCAAGAGAACAAGTCATTACAGATGGACTGAAACTGTGCTGAGAAAAACAGTACCGGCAGTGTGCATCCACCACCAGTATGCAGACGACCGGTCTCTTTGGGTTGGCAGGACTTACAGTACTCCCTCTGCATGTTTTAACCTAAATAACCCTTAGAAATAAGCTGACAATGTTTTGTCTTATCTCTCTGTCTGCCCTAAAAGGCTGTGGTTTGAACTACCACAAGCGCTGTGCATTTAAAATTCCAAACAACTGCAGTGGAATACGCAAGAGGAGGTTGTCTAATGTCTCCTTAACTGGCTTGACTACCTCAAGGTCAGTTTCTGCTGAGCCTTCGCCCTGCGCGTCAGATGAAGCACTACTGGTAAGAACACAAACGCTGGATACTGCCTGCAAGTAATTCAGAAAAGTGTCTCACTATGACCTAGGGCAGAATTTCACAGTCTTATGTGTCTGTCCTTGTCTTCATGTCAGTCTGTGAACAGCGTCAGTGTATAAAAACCTCATGTACACAGGGGCAAGTCAATACCAAAAAGTAGAATAAAATGTTGAAGATTTTCAGATTCTATTATAATGTACATTTTTGTCAGTTAAAAGAATGGAGACTAACTTGTCCTTTATTTAACTCTCTTCTTGACTGAGAAAGCTTTCTCATAATCTGGTAGCATTTTGAATGAAAATATATTAGGCTCATTACACTAAATATCAAAGTTTGCACAGTACAGTACTATTGGCATGGACACCTACAGCAGAAAAAATGTCTTTTTTCATTACTTTTAATCTTACATCTTATGATATCCACTTCACCGAGCAAATAACTTCAGTAAAAGCAATTGGTGATTCAGAATTGCATAGTTCCCCAATATTTATCTGCAGTGAGTTTGTCTAACTGTGTAATTATACTTCTGCAGAAACCAGTCTGTAAATGATATATTGTTCAAATACATACTGTAGCTGTTAATATTATTAGTTCCGTTTTTTGATTCCCTGTCTCTGGTGTTTCCCCTAAATACTAAGTTGCATTTTAGTTTATCAGTATTTATAGGTTCATAAGTTAGGTTTATCTTGGACTGGACAAGCAAGCATTGTTGTAGTTCCATATTTCTACACAGCCCCTTTTGATCTTAAAATAAAAGCGTCTAAGAGTCTGTTTCCTGAGCCAATGAATTGCTTTTAATAATATGTTATTAATATATATTTTACTTTTTTTAACATTCATAACTAAAGATAATTTGCTCTTCATGGTTCATTGTAAAAATGCATTTCCCACCTAGATCAAATGTATAAATTATATCAATACTTTTTAATAATCATACCTCTCAAGATCCATTATAAAAATAATGTATACTGCATTTCAGCAAGTCAGTTGTATAGTTTCGGATTACAGGGGCTTCCTTCAGATTAAATTTGATTGAAGTGAGATTTACTGTTTATTTATAAAGCCTATGCACATCATTTCTGAATTACATCACAGCTGTTTGTTTTCATATGCTACTGCACCGCCTGCAGAAGTAAAGAAATGTGTATTCTGCCAGTGCTATAGCTATCCTTAGACAAGGACATTGTACTACAGGCAAGATGTGTTTCGGTCCAAACTAGCAATGGTATTTGAAGATATTGATCAAACTATATGAAATAAAGATGGTTAAGTAATTGGCAGGAATATACAGTACACAGTAGAAAAAAATCAGTTTCTCATTTTACTTAGTGATCTATTAAATGTATTTAGTTATAGTTATTTTCCAATTTATAGCACTGTAGAACAGGTAGCATGCAAAGTGTTACTAACAGTGGACATGCTGCAATGATTCAAAGTGTTCCCTGTACTTTCCTGCTATTCTTTAATAGTTGTTGTGCCTACGGGCTCTTTGCATGGTGCAGCATTGTTTTTTAACTTACAGCAGAATAATCACTACTTTCTGTTCCCTTTCGATGTTTTTTGCCTGTTTGTGTCCTGTCTGCTCTGCATGCCTCAGTCTCCTGTCAGCCCCAGTGTTGAGGTAGGTACTGTCTCAACATGATTCATGTTTTTTTTTCCCTGCTGATTCAAGTGACTGCTTTCAGTTTACATTTTCCAATGGATCACTGATTTGGTTTTAGGTGTTTGTCCTTTATGTATTTTACTATCTGAAATGAAGATTTTATTTTTTTAGTAAGGTAATCTGCAGCTGTAACAGGGTGTAGATAGGCCACAATTACATTAGAACTTCTAACACTTTCACCGGAGCAGTAAAACCTTATCCCAGCTCTATATGTTTCTCAAGAACACCTGATTTAATCTGAACTGAAAGAAAAAAAACAAAGTCCATTTGTATTTAACATTTTCTCTGACGTTAGCAAAGCACATTCTGAATAAATAACTACTTTTACTTAATAAGGAACGTTATTCTCAGTTCTGTCATGTCATGACAAAAACGCTGATATTCCAAAAAACACCTTCCGTTCTTACAATTCCATTTCGGATATTAATAATTCAGTGCAGAACATCGGTCTGGTCTTGCATGTTTTGTTGCTCAATACTGTTGGCTGTTACTAGGGATTTCTTTGTTCGACAGGAAGTGTACATTCTGCTGAAAATTAAGTGTTTTACAAATATATTATATGAAAGGTAATTGTGATCAAGTCACATTTTTCAGTCTTTATCTTCTTTCTACATTAGTGCGTTTTCCTTTGGGGAAAAAAAAACAACATATTGCTCCCTAGCTTCCTCCTTAGCACTAACCCAGAGAGAGGAGAGATCAGTTTCTGTGTTCCAAGAAAACATCAGACTGTGTTAAAGTGCTGACAGGTAAACACATTTAGACTGTGTATCAGCTAGTGTCCTGCTGCCAGTTTTATTAGTGAAGAAATTAGGTGCATCACTAATTATTTAAAACCTTCGCAGACTAATAAGTAATGCTATCTATGACTAATGCATAGGGGAATACTGTTTTATTAATGTGTGTCTAGCTGCTGATTTTTCAGATGTTAAAAGCATCGTAGCAGTTGGTGAGACCAGTCTCACACTACTTCCACTTGGTACCTTGGAGATTATATAATGAATTCTAATATAAGCTGTTTTGCATCAGTAGTTTGAATTTTTTCAGACTCTATAACAGCTACAGACACAAAATTATTGTGGCAGAATAGAAAACCCATCTACAGCTCATCCACAAATCCACAGTAATATGCAAAGATAAATAATACCCCTGTTATGTGAAAAATTGCTTCATAAGTGTTTGCCAAAGAAAATACATAGGTATAAAAAAACAAACGAGGAGCTGAAATTGACAAACGATATAGCCAACATACTCACTGAGCAGGTCTTCAAGACACTTTTTCAAAAATAGCCCTAGCGTGTAAAACAATTAAAATATCCAAGGGTTTTAGTGTTTTTAATTGTATTTATAGGTGTGATCTATATCGGTTTATATTTGTGAACTTACAATTTCTTTTCCACATTTATAAAATGAACTGTCAGCTTCTGATTTTAATTAAAAACTGAGCCGCATTTTTTCTTATTCATTTGGACTGTCCTAATTAAAACGAAGGGAATTTGCTCACTGATCTAGTTTCCCACAAAACATATTTTTCGTTCTCAGTAGCCATAGACACTTCGGTATACTCTGCATATGTGTGAGTACAATAAACAGTGGGGTAGAATTGTTGTTGAGATGTGCTTTTAAAGTTTTTGAATGATGCCAAAAAAAATGAACGTGCTAAAGGACACTTCTCTTAATCTCGATTTACAGCAGAAAACGCAGTCTGAGTCCTTTATTGGAAGGGAGAAGAGATCGAACTCCCAGTCATACGTCGGCCGGCCAATCCAGCTGGACAAGATTTTGCTCTCCAAAGTGAAAGTGCCCCACACCTTCGTTGTCCATTCTTACACGCGCCCCACTGTCTGCCAGTACTGCAAGAAGCTTCTGAAAGGGCTGTTTCGGCAGGGCCTTCAATGTAAAGGTGCATTTTCTCAGGCTCCGCCTCTTGTGCTGATCGATATTCACCTGGGAAATCCGAGTCTTGACTTAAAAATGTTCATGGGAGAAGTCAACCCCCTCAAGTTAAGCTATTGTCAGCGATGCCTACTCACGCTAGTGAAGGAAACACAATGGCCAGACTGATATGGGATGCACTTACCTTGGGCACAGGGCAAGTAGTGGCCAAATCTAATTGTGCAAACTCTGCCAAATAATGCACAGAGCCCTGCCTTAAATAATTTTTAAGTGTTAAAATTTGTGGGTTAAATTACACATGCTTATAGTTTCTGCCTGACAAAAAGGCGAATCAAGATCTAGCCCTGACAGCTGCGCATTAAGATAAAATTATTGTACCAATATCTTTTCTGTTAGAAGGGCATGCTTTCTAGCTTTTAAAAGCAATTTCACTGCTTTAGTCCATAAAGCAAGAGAACAAATAGAGAAGGGAAGCTGAAATATTGTGAACAGTAGGGGAAATTGCTTTTCAAATGTAAGAAAGGGGTCTAATAAAAAGCTGTTGTTCCTTGAAGCCTTGATGAAATATTAGGAGCAGGTACAAGTGACATGCCTGAGGGAGTTAAAACACGGCACGATTTAGATGCGCAAACATAGAAACCTGTAATGACTGGATAGGAAAGTATGGGCCTGAGGCTGGTAGCTCCTGTTTGTGAGTGAAAATATAAGCTTTGATGTGCTTTTGCTTCTTCCAGGGCTATTTTGTAGGTTTAACATGTTCATACGCCTCTACAGCACCTCACAGCTTTACAGATAGTGTTGCAGTGATATCAAAGTTAGTTCAATCCTGCCTGCTCCAGTTTCACATTTTGCAAAGTGGTTCAGTGAAATACATGGTGCAGATGCGAGTATAAACGTCCCAACATTAGTGTTAGTCTTTGTGAGAAAATAACATGCATTCTAACTGTCCCTGCAGTTTTGCCAGAATCATAATCAGTTCATGTATTAAGTTGAGAAACGCCACACACTACAGCTTAAAGCGACGTTTTCACCCACATACCCTGTACACATATCCATCTCTGTTTAAAGTTCAAACAAAAGCTATAGGAGGCTAACAGCAGTATCAATCCTTATTAGTTCACTGGCAGTTTCACAGAACAATCATGACTCTCTAAGCTGCTCCTAACATTAACCTCTAAATGGATGCTCTCACAGGAATACAGGCATTCTGTGTTGTATTCAGCGTAATGGTTCATTGCAAAGTACATGCAGAATGGCAGCAATGTGAGAATGCTGCCCTTGATTACTGAGTGCCCTCTCGCTGTCACGCATAAAAACTATTCCTGCAGAAAAATCACAAAAAAGAAAGACTGTCAACTTACATTACTCATTGGACGAAAACTCTGGCATTCCGACAGCCTTTTGTTCTATAAAGTCTTTAACAAGATATGTTCTTTATAATCATACTTGGAGTAAGTGACATTCCACTCTCAGGGGAAAAAAATGTTCAGTCAAGAGAGAATAAATAGGCACGAATGCATAAGCTGAAGGGATGTCCTATGAACAGAAAATTAACTGTGGATGTTTAGATGGTCAGTTGTGTAACAGTAGAGCTCTTTAGTAGCCTTTCACGCCATATCACTAAACAAGAAATGACAGAAACCTGTTTAACATTCCCTTGATCGCACCAAGACCTCTCTGTCCTCTCAGTCTCGGAGTCTGATCTGGACAAGGCCATGGGTGAACTAGGGAAGTAGTCGGCATTGTAGGTATCTGTGATGATGTCCACAGTAAATCCTGGCTGTTCTTTTTTCCATTTGTTGTAGATTGCAAGTTCAACTGCCATAAACGCTGTGCTCCCAAAGTGCCAAATAATTGCCTTGGTGAAGTAGCCATTAATGGAGGCAAGTCTGTAACTTTTTGTGTCCCCTGGTATCTCCATGACGTATAGAGGGAAGATTATTCAAGATGAATGTTTCGCGAAACTGGTACTAGTTTCTTGTTGGCAGATCAGCTGCAGTTTTAAAAATACTACCCTGCAACTTTGAAACAGACTTCTGAGCCATGAGCCAATGTATTTCTAATTCAAAAATTAATATTGGGATAAAGTGAAATACAAATGCTGTATATTGTGGCGATTGAGAAGATAGTAATAACACCCCATAGTTCTCAAGGACCACAGTTTGACATTTTCTTGATATTGATCGTAGTAAGTTAATGATTAAAGTCCTGCTGGACGGTGGCTCTGTAGGGCCAGTGTTGGCCTTATCTGCTTGTTAAAATGTAAAAAAAAAAAAAGAAGAAAATAGATTATTTTAAAAATAAATCATTCAGCGCAAAAGAAGCGACTGTGTAGTGACTGGAAAAGCTTCCCCCAGTTTCCTTGTCTAGCTAGGAAGCACGCAACACTCTCTGACGGCCGACGACATTTGTATTCCCTCAGACCTGCTCAGTCCGGGGCCGGAGTCGGATGTTGTCATGGAGGAAGGAAGTGACGACAACGACAGCGAGAGGAACGGCGGGCTGGCGGATGACATGGAGGAGTCCCTGGCCCACGACTCGGTGATCTCCATGAGCGGCGGCCACAGCCACATCGGGGAGATGCAGGACCACGACACGGACCCTGACGACTCCAGCAGGATGATAAGGTCAGGAGACCCCCCCCCGCCTAGCTGCAGCCACGCCCCCCGAGACGCCAAGAACTTTAACGCACTGCCGGTGTTTCTACAGCCCTTCCACTAGCAACAACATCCCTTTGATGAGAGTGGTGCAGTCTGTCAAGCACACCAAGAGGAAAAGCAGCAACGTGTTGAAGGAAGGATGGATGGTCCATTTTACAAGTAAAGACACACTGGTAAGAGAACAAAGTCATCTGGTACAGTGAAGATTCTCAGCGTTGCAACTTCACAGCACATCTTGAGGCCGTTCTGATCCATTTCCTTCTTCGTGTAAGTGCCTATGCATGTGACAGATGGAGACATTTTATAGGGGAAGAAGCAGCCAGTAGTGATGCTCAACGTCTTCTATGCTTCATTCCAAATCCCCTCACACTTGGGGCCGCGGAGTGAGTTTATCCCTGTAGCAGTTTGAATTTCCATCTACAGACTGAAAGGGAACTAAAAAAAAAATGATCAAGATCAAGTTACCAATGTTCCTTTGTGGATTTAAATGTTCATCACTTATTCCAATGGTTTTAGTGCTTGGGGCTTGACACCGCTCGGTGATTAATTGTTTCAATATCGTTCAATAAAGAAAGCCTTAATGAACTTAAAGGAATTGGGGGAAAAAAATATACCTCGTACAGAAGTGCTTTAATCCAATGTGTCCATGGAGATGCATCATGAAGCAGATGAGCTTTAAAATGTTACCTTTCTGAATGGAAGGAAGACTTAAAGTGATGAATGAAAGAGTATGGCAATTAGGCTCAAGAAAACCAATTAAATAATTGATGGATTTCCAAATTGAGCTTGAATAGCACAACAGACGGGTTGCTCCAAAACAGGAACAGAACTGAATATCAACATATTTTGCACCATTACATATTATCTCATAGCGTTCCATATGGACCTCATGAGTGCAGTTCATTTAATGTCAGTGTTTTTCCATGTTAGGAGCCACGAGGCAACAGCCCTCCTCTAGATCAGACAGTGCAAGCATCCTCGCGCTCTCTCAGACTCAGATCAGCGATCCTCGCGCTCTCTCAGACTAAGATCAGCGATCCTCGCGCTCTCTCAGACTAAGATCAGCGATCCTAGTGCTCTCTCAGAGTAAGCTTCTGATTGTGTGAAGGTGTCATGGCCAGAGTTGTCCCTCACCATTTCCTGCCTCATCAGCGCCTCAGGATCCAGCCTGACCATGATGCACACAGTGACAGGGCTGTGCAGAAGTGACTCCCAGCACCTGAACAAGAGGAAGCCCACGTTTCGGCAGTTTCACTGTGGCAATGCCAGCAATTCTCCCACAGCCCTAAAGCTGTTGAATGATATTTCCCCAGATTTTTAAATGACTAACCTCTGAACAAAGCAGTTAGATTTTCACCTTAGATTTCACCGTGCTATTGGATGTCAGTGGTGCAGGTTGTTTTTATATTTCTTTTGGTTTCTGGATTATTTATATGAATGTTGTCAGCCCCTTCTGTTTTTTAATAACTAGAATGAGGTGCTTCTGAGACAGGAGAGTTTAACATGTTAAAAAATGTATTCTTTGCTTTTAAAATCAGCAGAAATTGCATGTGAGCTGTTACATTTTACACGCTCAGAAATGCGGTTTCACGCCCTTTCACACACCCTGGCTTCTAGCTAAACTGTCACGTAACAGCATATACAAACTCGCAATTATCTGCGCAGAGAAGCAGAAGGCGTGCAAGTTTAAAACCAAAGCACAGCATTAAACTGCATTAAACAATTTGAATTTAAAAAATGAAACAACGAAGTCCTGCCTGTCCCACAAGCCAGCATACAGTAAATATAACACCTACCAAACACAAAATGGAACATCTAGTAGGTTTGGCATCTGCATACAGATTTAGAGATTCATTCAGGGGGCTACTGATGCAAGGAATGGCATTAATATCATACAATTCCACAATGTTAATATGTTAGGGCTCTGATATTCTTATCAGATATTCTTTCATCTAAGAATGCCTGTAGGCAACCTAAACTAAAGTAATTATTGAGTTGTAAAAATGCAAGATTATTACCAGATAGGTCAGATCTCCTCAAGCCCTTGCACTTCATTTGTGGACAGCAGACACTGAGCACATGGCTGTACACTCCTGGAGTCACCAGGAAGAGCAGGTGGTGGCTGCCTGACCACAAGGGTCTTATTGGTTGGGAGCACTTGGTTCAGGCCTTAATCTGGCTATAGTCCTTAAATGAAACTAATAGGCTTTATCTTTCTTCTTGTTTTTCAAACAGCGGAAAAGACACTATTGGAGACTGGACAGTAAATGTATTACTTTGTTTCAGAATGACACGGGGAGCAAGTATTATAAGGTAAAATGTTTGCTTTATGATATCTTTTGATTGCAGCAATGTGGTATTTGGACAGCTAGAAGGTCCTAAACAATAGTTCCAGAAAAAAGTATACTGTAAGTAAACTTTTTTCTGTAAAAAAAAAGTAAATCAATTTCTTTGGAATTTTTCTGTATAAGTAAACTTTTTTTCTGTATTCTCATTTTTTAAAAATATATGTTTTCTTCTGCTTCCTCTGCTGCTGTGCAATAGAAATGATTCTTCTAAGGTACCAGATATTCGAAAACCTAAGTCTCTTTATGCATTGTTTTAATTGTTCTGAAGATGAGACTGCACACTAAGAATACTGTGTGCTAAAGAATCTATATCGCACAGTGCTGTACTGCTACTTTTGATTCATCAATAGATGGCTGGCTCTGACAGTGCATTAGATATTCTGATGAGGAAAATTGAATTAAATTAAATTAAATTAAAAATATACGCACTTTGAATTGTCACTTCGTTATTCATGTTTTGAATAAATCTCTTAGGAAATTCCATTATCTGAAGTTTTGTCCTTGGAACCAGCTAAGAACTTCAACTTACTTCCTTCTGGAGCAAATCCCCACTGCTTTGAGATCACTACAGCAAATGTTATGTACTATGTCGGGGAAAATCTGGTAAACACAGTGAACATGCCCGCTAATAACAACGTACTCATAAGTGGCATCGGCCAGGATGTTGCCAGAATGTGGGAAATGGCAATACAGCATGCCCTGATGCCAGTCATTCCAAAGGGTGTGTCCCATGGGAATCAACAGAGCTACCATAGTAAGTCTTTATTTCGCTCCGCTTTGTGCCTGTCATGACTGCACTGCTCTGCATAAACCGACAGACTCATTTTCACCTCATTCACTTCCTCTTTGGAAGGGGAGGTGGGAAAAAGAGACTTCCTTTCATGTTCATTGATTACACTGGCTCTTTCTAACATTCGGAAATTTCAATATAGTAGGGAACAGGTAGACTCCCTAAGCTTTGTACAGAACTTTCTTTGATGGACTGTGTGACTTATTTGTATTTACTTATTTACTTAGAATATTTAAAGGTAATTACTAAAATTGTTTCATGTTTTGTTCTCGGTCATTGGCTCCATGACTTAATGGTCCTTTCTTTTTGATGCTGCTAGTTATTCACATTGATATTTGTCATTCCTGAAGTGTGAACACCTCCAGATTGCTTCAGTGATTCTCTATCCTTACAGTCATATGTCAAATACAAAAAACAGTTCTAGTCTGACCTTACTGGACACATACTACATGGAAAATATGTAACATTTGAAGACAAGTTTTGTTTTTTTGTTTGTTATATCTGACACATTTACTATTCACACTATTTGTGGTTTAAAAAAAGTAAATCAATTTCTTTGGAATTTTTCTGTATTTTTATTAACTGATCATATCACATCCCTATATTGTATACCTTTTTTGTTGCTACAATGTGACATTTTGCATGATGCAAGTGTGCAAATTACATCCTTTTTGTTGTTGTTTTTAACCAACAGAAGATGTTTCGGTTAGCATTTCTGTTTCCAACTGCCAAATTCAGGAAAATGTGGTAAGTATGTGAAAATAAATCAAATGCTCAAAATGAAATGTAAAACCTTTTTCACCTGTAGCCCATTAAGTTCATGATAAGTCCCCGTCCATGTGGAAACACAGAGCTACCGCTAATCTCTTGAATGTCAGTAGGCTTAAATCTTAGAAAACTCTAAGCTGTATCTGTATCTTCACGCGTCAGTAACATGCTTTTATACACGGGACTTCAGGGAGCAGAGATGCTGACTTTTCACATGCAGCACAGATGAAAACACCTGTCAGGCAAAAGTCTTCCACCCATAAGCATGATTTTCAGAGAAAAGTAGTGAAAAATATAGAACTCTTGCTATATAAAAATAAGTACCCTTATTAAGAAACAACAAAAATGTATAGTGGATTTAGCACTCCTGCATCAGCATTGCAATTATCAGCCTCCTGCATGACTATACTGCTGCAGAACACCAAGTTACCAGAGGTACTTGATTGTGTCTGCACAATCCTATGCTTGGTGTTTTGCGATAGATATAGTATATAGGCTGCTGTGGCCAATTTTAATATGGCTTGGTTCTGTACATTGCAATGCCAATTAACGTACACGTGCAATGCAAACAAAAAATTATTAAGAAGGCAGCAGCCTTATGACCTGACCTTATGAGATCTGCAAGCTTGTGGAAGACCATTTTATAGATCTGTTTTATACAGTACGTGTGTGTGTGTATGTAGTATGTAATCATAAACACTTATAACAAGAATGGCATTTTAGTCCTATAACCCAGAGCATTCCATTAGCTTGGGAATGACAAAGAGATGTTTAGTAAGTGGATAACAGCATGTGAATGCTCAGTGCATTTCCAAGGACTTTGGATTACTGAGAGAGCATTAAAGGAATGAAGCCACTGTGCACTGGCCAGATAAGAACTAGTAAACTCACAGATATGGGATATGTTGATCCTGTGCCTCGCCTGGGCACCCACTGAATCTCCTGCCAGGTTTAAACAGCACAGCTCCGGCACGCAGCTTGGTAATGTTTCAGCTGGAGAAACTATTCATTAAGCTTTTACTCATCGGCTACTTAAATAGCTGTGATTCATTTTCTAATTTTATACAGCATGAATTTGTTAAACATACAGTATGTGCACTCGTGTCAGCTTCTATGAAAATATATGCATGATTTTGAAAGTGAAAAATAGATGACACCAATGCTGTTCTTTTTTCCCAACAGGATATTAGTTCGGTTTACCAAATATTTCCTGATGAAGTTCTTGGCTCTGGGCAGTTTGGAATAGTATATGGAGGTCTGTATTTTTCATTATTATTCCTTAAAATGAATAGAGCAACAATTATTTAAATGTATTTCCAGAATGCAAATATAGGAAACATGTGGCCACCTACATGCAGCAGTATACCTTGCCACCCATCTTAAAGCCGATAAGACTCTTTCCCTACTGTACACCACATTGACTTTTTATGTAAATGAATCGTCTTGAAGTCTTGATGACACTTGATCCTTGTGTTAGGAAAACACAGGAAAACGGGAAGGGACGTGGCCATTAAAATCATAGACAAGTTGAGGTTTCCTACGAAGCAGGAGAGCCAGCTGCGGAATGAAGTCGCCATCTTACAGGTAATGGGCTGCTCCTTCGTGTAACCTCGGCTTTAAAGAATAACAGACAGCGTTAAAGTAGATTTTTAATGACGTCAGATTAAGTGGGTGAATTAAAAATAATTTTAAGTTTAAAAAAAAACTTTAGGCACAGTGAATGTTATCGTTATTTGTGGGGTGTCTATCGCAAACATAAAAAGTGTTTTCTAAATAGAAATGCAGCGATCCCCTTATGTCACCCTGCGCATGCAAGTTTCCTCCTGTTACCTGACTGGACCATGTGAGCCGGGTTAAGAGCCCCTGAAGGCAGAACTGCCTGCTTGTTGACCCACAGAACCTCCATCACCCTGGTGTTGTCAATCTGGAGTGCATGTTCGAGACGCCCGAGCGAGTGTTTGTTGTCATGGAGAAGCTCCATGGAGACATGCTGGAGATGATCCTGTCAAGTGAAAAGGGAAGACTGCCGGAGCGCATAACCAAGTTTTTAATCACCCAGGTACGTGTGCGCGAGCTGCACAACACACACACACACAGACTTCCTGCCAAGGGCTCAGAGTACAGATCTTCACTCATAACGAACACTCAGTTCATTCTGAAAATGGGACTGTTTAAAAGCAGGTTTGCATTAAATGATTCATTCACTGCATATATGCTAAAGTATTTTCCAAATATCACTTACAGTACGTCTACTCCCAAAAACCATATTGAATACCTGCATCTCCTCCACGATGATTAGTCTAAAAGCCAGAGCTAGTCGCTGTGTGTGAAATTTTTTAAGTGATTTATGCAAGATGCTATCAACAAACTATTACTTTTTGGTGCACGCTTTAATAAAATTAGATAACCAACACTGTGATTAATAAAAAAGCACACAGTTTAAATTAAAAATCTTCCATATATTGCTTGTAATGATGTTGATGAATGAATGAAATGCAGAATTACAAAAACACTGTGGCAATTAAAAGAAGGGAGATTAATTTTGTAGTAAAAGAATGAAATTCATCACTTATGGCTAAATTGAACATGCCAGTAAAAAGGTTAATTCAGTTCTAGTTAATATATGACATGTTTAACTATAATAGAGGGCTTCAAAAGCTGCTATTAATTGTACAGTATATTATAATTAGCAACTGTATCCCAACACAAAACTCAAAATATTCCAAGCGACTGTAATCAGAGCACTAGTTGTAAAATACAGATAATTACTTTTTGTCTTCTTTGCAGATTCTTGTAGCACTGAGACATCTTCACTTTAAGAACATTGTTCACTGTGACCTCAAACCTGAAAATGTTTTACTCGCCTCTGCTGACCCCTTTCCTCAGGTAAGAAACACTTTTTTTTTATTTTTCCATCATACCAAGCCTTGCAACATTGTTTCACACCAGCAGAACTTGGCTGCAAATTGTTTTTTTTTTCTTTTCCTTTCTTTTGCTAATGGGCTCTGCACGCATGCTGCACTTTCTGCTCAAGCCTGCTTGCTTGTTCTTTATACAAGATTAGTCAGTGGGCAAAACTCTGCAGCAATCAGGAGTTTCACACTTTAAAAGTAAAATAAACTAATGCCCACATTATAACAAACTGTGAATGTTTGAAGGATTAATATCAACTCACTCTGTTAAAAAACGCTACAAATTACAGTATACCTAGTAGGTTATTGAAGACAATGATAGCTGGAGACTGTACATAATGCTTTTTGTTTTCTGAGCCAATGTTCTTTTCTGTGTATTAGGTGTGCTTTTTATGTGAAACCTGCAGCTAATACTAATTTATTTTTAGCATTTGTTCTAGCCTTGCAGCAAAACTGGATAGTGGGCCACCACAACAAATAATGAGCAACTTCTAACGTAGCTCTTCAAGGGAAATTAGACTTCAGATTGTTCTCCTTTTCTTTACAATGTGCATTAGCTAAATGAGATTAAAGAGAGAACCAATTAGTTTTTGGAATTTAGTAGTTATACGAGCTATAATTAATTTGTAAAGAGCAGCAGAAATAAATAACATCTTTGTTGAGTGTTTTTAATTACCACTTTGAAGTTGGAATAGTTCAGTAAGATATGAAAACCCAGGAGGGGGGCTGTAAGTCTTACTGTATTAACAGTGTTCCTGTTTCTCCTTGCCTGTGCGTTATGCTTCTCTGTGCAGGTTAAGTTGTGTGACTTTGGATTTGCTCGGATCATTGGGGAGAAATCTTTCAGACGTTCAGTGGTTGGTACACCTGCATACCTGGCCCCTGAGGTGTTGAGGAATAAGGGATACAACAGATCTCTGGACATGTGGTCTGTAGGCGTCATCATCTATGTCAGCCTCAGTGGCACCTTTCCCTTTAATGAGGATGAGGACATTCATGATCAGATCCAGAATGCCGCATTCATGTACCCACCAAACCCGTGGAAAGAAGTATCCCAAGAAGGCAAGTCCATGACCATTCATGTTGAATTTGTCTGTTCTGTATGATTATAGAGTAAAACCTGGACATTCACGAGCTCTACATTCGCAAATCGGACACCTGTAGTATAGACTTCAAGGTGTCTAACCCTTGTGAATCCTGAGATTTAAACTCCTTTACCTGCAGGGGAGAAACATTTCATTAACCTTAAAACTGTCCTTGATGAAAGGCTTATTCTGAGCATAGGAGATCAGAAACTAGTTAAATCAGCCTTATTTTGGAGATCTTAGTGCACGTTCTAGAATGAGAAAAAAGGTACATCACCTACCCCTGCGAGTAACAGCAGATTACTGCACAACACAAACAAATACACCATGATCATGTAAAACATTGTCTTAGTTTAAGCTTTAATGTATTAAATATTATCTACAGAATCAGAATCAATGAAGCCACATTAAACGACTGTAAAGTGTGAAAACATGAAAATGTAAGAGGGATCTCTAATGAGAGGTCACATAGCCCAAATATATGTGATCAATAATTGCTTGCTGATCCAGGAGTCTTATCAAAACTGCTTCTTAAAGAATCCCTGTGAGTTTTGAGCAATTATGGCCCAGTTTTGATTTTAACTAAGACAATGTTGGTCCAGCCCACTGAAACGAGGGGCCAAGCCCTTTTGTGGTTTGCACTGAGATCTGAGTCAGACTCCTCCCATGCCTGCTCCAGAGGCTGTCAAAGTAAAAGCTCATCCTGCAGCAGACTCTCCCTGCCCGCAGCCATCACGGATGTGACCGTGAATGGAAGAGAAGTTCTAGGGTGCCGGACATGCGGCGCTCCCTTGAAAAGCTGGGAAACTGGTTTCCATGAATGGAGAACCTGCAGATGTGGCCAGTTCTCCCAAATTGTCCTTTAAATGACACTGACGTAACTTTTGAAAACTCTGCAAACATATCTGCCAATTCACTGCATGCATGACCTTGTGAATCAACAAACCAGCTTCACTTATTAACCCAGGGGTAAGAAGGGTAGCTGTCCTGCCCAGGAAAGGAAACTATCTATTCATTATCATACCTCATACCTCAGCTACTATGTACTTTTGGATAATCAAAGATCTCTTTATCACCTAGCATTCTTTAGGTGAAAGCATTGCAGACAATCTATTGTGTGTGAGAAGCAATGGACAAGCACTCTGAGACATATCATGGAAATCTGAGATGCTTCAGGGGTGTAGGCAAAAGACTTACACCTGCCCTTCTGACCAGCTCAGTACCTGTTCATTTTTCCTTTCTTATACATCTCTTTACCCAAAGGGTTGTGGGTGTATGGAACAAGCTACCCAGATATGGCTTCCTTCAGGAAATGCCTGGATTAATCTTTGGATCAATTAGTTACTAACTACCAAACAAGCTCGATGAGCTCTCGGTTATAATCTTTCTTTTGTTCGTACACATTCCGTGTGAAATGCAGCCTTACTTTCTTATCAAACAATCAAGTAGTGACTCAATGTATAACTTTATAAATATTTCACTTAGCCCATAAAAAATTAGAAGTAAATACAAATGAATTAACTTTTTGAGCGGCACATGCCAAAAACCACAATAACTGTTAAATGAAGAACAATTACTAGCAAATAATTTATTGCAGAGTGTAAAATATAGTTCTCTACATGTACATTAAAACTGGACCATCATCCACTACTAAACATGATTGTGTCAATTGTTTCAAAATGAAGGTAAAAAATATACTTGACTGTCCTCTTTAGATTAGATGTCATTTCCACAAACCACCTCGCTTGTGTTTCAGGGAAACGAAGGAAAGGTACTTGGCAACATCTGTTTTTTGCTAACTTGCAGACATTTATGCATGTGTGCGTAGATAAGGATGAATATTTTCTTTGTTTAGAGAGCTCCATCCTAAATCTGTGGATCTGAAGGTGGATCCTTGTGCGTGACTCTTCTGTTTAAGTGCAGGTTTACTCTAGCATAAAACTCATTATTGACAGTATTCCATCAGCGTGCTTCCTTTTTCCTCATTGCCTGGCCTCATTATCCTCCTCAGTACAGAAATATGCGCAGTCCAGGGAATTTCTTCATGTGTCCCCGAGTTCCGTTTTGCCATATATCATTTCCTAATCACATTGGTTTTCTTGTTTCCATTTTAAAAATGGTATTTTAATGTATTATCCTCTCTTATTTTTTTTACATGAGAACTGAGAAGCTTAATCTTGCATCTATGTCTGGAAAGAAATACCTGATAAAACCTTGTTTAAATGGCTGTTCTTAAGGATGACCCTTTTTTTAAGCTTGTCTGAGTTTCAGACAAACATTTCCAAAGATTGGTCAGTTAACAGCAGCTTTTGTGTTTCATAATTCTTTTATACTGTACATAACAATCTGTCTTGAGTTCTGTTTCTTGCAATTTCATTAGACACTAACTGCCACGATACCTAAATCTCTCATCCTTTGACAGCATTTTGCGAGAACATCACAATTCATGCCGGTCTCTAAGGCTTTAGATTTTGTTAGTGTTTGGTAATTTGAGAAACAGTTAAATATATTGCAGTTGTTCTGTTGCAGTGAACATGGCTTCACTGTGTTTAATGGGTTTTTACGAGAGCAGCCTGTATTTTTCTGACTGTGTATTCATCTGAGTAATGCTGACTGATGGCAATTGTAATTAAGGTCCTTAAGGTCACCCATCCAAAGTGAAGCTGAGAAGCTTATGACCCTTAAAATAAGCTTTACATTTTGTTTTGCCCATTACCCCATGTTGACTCTGAAAAGTGTGTGATAGAGACTTCCAAGCTTATCTGTTATGTGAAGGTACATTCCTTGACAGGCTCCCTTGTCATTACAGCAATTGACCTCATTAACAACCTCCTGCAAGTGAAAATGAGGAAGAGGTACAGTGTGGACAAGTCTCTCAGTCACCCTTGGCTACAGGTGAGCTCCTTATTTTCAAGAAACACTTAACTAATGATATTTTCTAAACCGAATTGTGAAAAGTAGTTTTTTTTACAGGTTGATTACAGCTTTATTACAGTGATCAAAGATATCAGTTCATAAAGCCTTTACATATCTTTTTCAAAATAAAAAGTATAGAGTACATCAGAGAGTTATAATTGTGAATTGCTTGTTACGCTACACAGCACAACTGTGTTGTTATAGTTAGACATATTTTATACATGTCTTAATATAGATGTTTTGTAGAAGTCTTCTTTCTCAGCTTGTGTGAAAGGTTTGAGGGGATTATGTAGCTAGATTCAGAGATGCTTGCTCATGTGGCACCATGCTCATGGGAAAAACATTCTTCTACAAAGTCAGGCTTCAAAAGGTTTAATTCTCTCGGCTCAAAGCAATGATGCAACATTTGTGTGGCTTCCCAAGAAAATTAAATTGTTTGTTTGAGCTAAAGTAATGAAGATGCAATCCAGTACCTTCCAACTTATTGATTAAACAATCAAAGCCCTCTCTACATTATAGTAGCAGTACAAAATGCATCATTGCAGATTTCTGCATAACCAAAGCAAAAGCATGTATTGATTGTGAGGGACGACTCACACTTTTCTAAAGTTAAATATCGAACCACAGCTCCACTACAAAAGAACCATGTGTGAAAAGGACTCTGAAGCTAATTCCTATGCCTAAGATGCATCAGTAGCTACTAAGGAACAAGTAAAGGTTTAGTCCATGCTGAAAAGAGAAGAAAAGAAACACAATGTTTCGGATGTAGCCTTCTCCGGGTCACCCAGCGTGGAATAAACCTTTACTTGTTCCTTTGCAACCTACGCGTGCTGACGCAGCTCCCTACTTGAACTACATCGGTAGCTACTGTCAACCGTCCCCGGTAGGCTGAGCTTGCACGTCAGAGCATGCACCTTACTAGCAACCTTTATATCACTCATCATGTCTTGAAATGGTTGTTTCTGTATTATTTGCAGGATTACCAGACATGGCTGGACTTGAGAGGGCTTGAATGCAAGATTGGAGAGCGGTACATCACCCACGAAAGCGATGACTCCCGGTGGGAGCTGTTTGCAGGACAGCACGGCCTGCAGTACCCAGCTCACCTGGTCAACCCACATACAGACTGCAGTGAGGGCGTAGAGGCCGAGGAGGCAGAGATGAGGGCTCTGGGCGAGAGAGTCAGCATTCTCTAGACAAGCACGACCTCTGACACGGGGCTGGTGCACCAGCCAGGAGCCAGCCTTCACCTGGGCCTTGCAAAAAAACAACACACGACCCAAAACAATTTCAGAATACTGCTGCTACTGCTGCCCTCATCCCACTTCTGTTTGAATAAGGACAGCCCATGTTACTTTGCTGAGCACCCAGGAGCAACTGTACTTTTCTTGTGCTGGAGTGTGCAGTTAAGAGCTATTCACCTAATCAGTACAGCCACCGCCATCTGTTACCCGATGTCTGTTTCTTGCTCATGTTTCGTAAATATAAATAAAAGAAGAATGTCTTAAAGTGTGCCTTTTGCTAGATTGCTACCCGTATGTCACCTTGGAAAAGCTTCTTTGTCAATTTCTTTATTACTATAGTTTAGCAGTGTCGTATGCACTCAGAGAGGTTTGGGCTGCTGTTCAGCTGGCTGTGTCTCGGTACGTCTAAGGATTCATACAGAATGTGAAGATTTTCAGAATACTGTCTTCAACAAATGTGAGTATTTTATAATGAACACACGGGTCAAACCTTACTGTACAATTATAGCACAAGTGCTTTATGGAAAAAGTAAGCCTCAATGCCTTAGTAACAATGTAAACAGCAGTACAGTTCTGATAAAATTACATTCCTTTTCTTATGAAGATGGATTTTAATGACGTTCAGCAGCTTGTTAACATGTGGCCTCTTTGTGTACGTTTTCAATAAAAGTCTTGTTGGGCTGTAAAAGTTGAAAACATTTCTATGTGTACTTGTATTATTCTATATAGGTTCTCAAACTATTATATGGCAGACATTAGCTTTGAAAAGAGGTTCCTAAAGTATGTGTGATTTCTTACTACAGTACAGTGTTGAAGAATTGACGTTTACCAACGTGTAAGGAAAAACATGCACAATGGAATGATGGATAAATCTGAATGCTTTTAAGACAAGAAAACCTGTACACGTAACAACAAAAAATATATTTTCTACAGTGTTTTTCATGATTCATCATCCCCATTCTCTTCATAGTGAGGCAAGGCAAAGCCAAAAACATTTAAAACGGGTGAACATATATTTTAATACAACTGAACTATTCAAAGGCATAGAAAAACACAACATGGATTTTTTGATGACATGAGCGTTTTGGTCCATTTTAGACGACACATAATTAACAACCGTGTGATTACCGGCTTATTACTGGGAAATGAGTGACACATTCTCACGTCCAACAATGTGTCAGAACAGGGCTTTAACAGACCACAGCATTAGCTTATGTAATGTTAGATCAGAAAAGCATTTATACAGTAACCAATTTGTTTAGAGACATTGATGTGGGGATATAAGAACGTCTGACAATTCCTTGAGAACTGGGGCTTCTGTCTAAGCACTACAGAAGACAAGGCCAGGGATTGGGGCTGAAATCTGTCGGTGAGAGCAGTTTATAAAGACAAGAAGCAGGGAAGTCTGCAGACTTGGACCGTGATTAAGAAGACATTAAGAGCAAAGTGCAGCTCGTCATTGCTGACATTTCTACTAATTATTTACATGACCAATTCTTTGAAAAAAAATAGCATTGCATTTTTTATTCTTAATTCCTACTTCTGTTTATACTGTAGCTCTTGCATTCTCCTTTCTGGTCTGAAAAATAAGTCATAATGTTGTTTTTCCAATGAGTCATAACACATGTATTCTTACACAGACTAGCGATCTGATTAACAGCAGCAAGCTAAAATTAACTCTGCCGTTATTATATATTTTTGTCATTATTAAACTCAATCTGGCATCAGAGAAGTTCATAACTGAGTATAATTATGTGGTCCTTAAGCAGTATGTCGGTAATTTGTGCCTTAAAAAAAAGGAAGGATTGGGCAAGCATTTACATTTTAAACCAATTACGGAGAGAGAACAAAAACAATGTTGTAATTTTGTATTGTACTGCTATACTGTAGCGAAAAAAAAAACTATATCTTGATTGCCTGTTTTAGAAAATGAGCTTGTATTCATTCTTACAAGATTCCATTACAAACTGAAGAGCATTTTAAAGCTCTTCGCAATATCAGAATATCATTAATTTCAGAATTAATCTGCTGTTTCTTCTCCAGCGAAAGTTCTTTTCCGTGTAGCTGCCCTGTGATCGGTGGCAACAGTACGGAATCTTTTCACAACATTATCGCTGCAAAATTCTGAAGTGTTTGACATTACGAAGCCAGTCAGAAGTCCTGTTGAATGACAAGGCCTGTGAAGAGGGAAGGAAGTAGTATACTGTACAAGAGTTGAAATGACCATGTGAATCTTGCCACCTTGTGGCAGTTTCATGAACATGAAGACGAAGACAGATACAACAACTCTGTTGACAATTAATGACGTCATTTCAAGCTTTCAATAGCATTCAATAGGAACCTTTAACCTTAATTCAAAGAAGTGGAGTAACTACTTTGTAAAACAAAATCTCCAACACCATGCGTGTGGTATGTTTTACATTTTTTGCTTACTCTTGTAAAAATGATTTCATCATTATTTTTAGGGTAAATGACCAGGGCCGAAAGGTGTCAATAGAAACGATGCAGAACTACTGAAACAAGCATCTCGCTACCATAAACACAAAAGGGAAATTTTATTTATGGTTGTTTTAAAACAGAGGAAATATGATCAACTTTAAAACGTCTCAAATATGCACAGAAATGCTTAATGCGAATTATTCCCGTTTGATCAAACGAGGAGATACCAACAATGTATCAAATTTGTTTGACCTTCTTTTTCTAAGACGGCTTTTGCACAACACCGGCGCGTTCGGAGTGAGCAATATTTGGAAATCACAATCCTTCTGGTAGAGGGTTTTGATTATGCGCATATGAAATAAATCCTGGATTGGATTTTGGTTATGTGCATATTTTTATGTTAGATCAGTTGTAAATAACTGCAATAATCATAATTATGATTATCAAGTAGAAGTAATAATAAAGTAAGCAGAAGTAACCCACATTACAAGGCTGCTTGAGGACAAATTATCAGCCTACAGCACGGCCTGTTCTTGAAAAGATGGGAAAAAACCTTATACTAATCAACACTGCATAGTCATGAGCTGATAAAGGAAACTGAAAACTACTAACACAGCATGAATTTTATAAAATATTATTAGCTTAATGTAACAAACTAATAAGTCTGAAGTACGACTGTGTGACCCTCCGAGACTTTACCCTGTGACCAAATGAATACTTCGTTCTGTTTGAAAATGTAGATTTCCGCTCTTTGTGACACAGACCTTTCTGTCGGCAGATGGCGCTCCGTGCAAATCTGTATTTGCACACCGACTGATCCTGTCTACATTTCCTGACAACATTCTTACACTATTTTCACTTGGATTCGCCACATTTTCTAAGCACAACTGCATGCCACGAAGGCCAGGCGTGAACGTGAATTGACAGAAAAGAATTTTTTCAAGGGATATATCTATGTAAGGATAGATACAAGAGAATCTCATTGATTTGGTTTGTGGAAAACGTGAAGACGTTCACAGCGTTCACCCACGTTTCGGGTAAGGGTTGCAAAAACCTGGGTTTTATCCCTGAGACACAGGGCACAAGGCGGTATCAAGCCCTAGCCGGTACACTACGCCATTACGGGACACACAAGAGCGAGAGTTGAGAAACACCAGTTCATCTTGTTACGTGTTTTGAAGATTGAATGAATCCGAAGAATCCGGTGAAAATAAACGCGAAACTGGAGAGAACATGCAAACTCCACGGATTAGGCACCCAGTCCCTGACACACAGTCCGAAGTCAAACAAAGGATTGAGGAGCAGTGAAGCAGCACTCACAATAGTAATAATAATGTTTTCCCCACCCTATCAAGGGCTGAAATCCCTTGAAATTGTAGTATAGTATTCGACAATTGAAATAAAGAGGTTTTTATTTCAGCAGAGATCGGATCGAAATGATTTAATATTTAGTTTTTTTTCCCCAGAACGGAAACCCCGCAATACAATTATATAACATAAAAAGAATTGAATAAATAAAATATACTAATTAGATATATTAAAAACTCAATTTTGCGTAAAACGATAAGAATAATAACTTTGCCGTTTCCATGACCAACGTCATTAATACTCAAATTGGGGATACGTCGTTTTGAATCAAGAAAAAAAAATAATTCATTGTATGCGACCTGAAGTAGTAATCAGAAAAGCTAAGGTAATAATCAAAAACCCAAATTAAACGTGGGGGTTTGAGGTTGAAGAGCGCGATTAATTAAATTCAGGTTTCACTACGCACATCTGATGTAAATGGAATTAAGACTATAGAACACAGCGGTTAAAAGATCCGTTTTGATTAATCTTTTTAGAAAAACCATAAATTCGCTCCTAAAATAGTTATTCATTACAGCAGAGAAAATTGCGCTGGGTTAGAGTTTTCAAATACAGAACAAATGAACCACAATATTGGCATTCTTAGTGTAGTCCATACAAACCCGCCTTTTCAGGGTCAAGCCTCCTAAATGAGAACTGTTTCAGTGTACTTTGCTTGGGAACGAAAAAAAAAAATAGCGATCGAATGGACTTATTATCTGTGTCGTTCGTACTTTGTAACTAAATTAAAGTATGCGTAAAAAGATAACACCGTTTAAAAAGCTCAAAAAAGTTTACGAGTGGAGGATTTTTTCCTCGGTTTTATAGCAAAGAGCTCGCGTGTTGCTTATTTTCGGCTATGTGTCCAAGCATAGCATTCTGAGTTTGTTTGGTAAAGAGCACCTGTCAAAACACAATAAGACACTGGACACCTGGCCGTTTTGAAACCTCGGGCTGGGCTCTCCGGCCACGGCGAGCGTGAGCCCCTTGGGTAGCGAACCCTTTCCTTTGAAGGGATCCCCATCCTCTTTGTTTCATTTCATACAGTGATGCAAAAACAAACAGTAAAAAAAAAAAATCAAGATAAAGACAAAGAATAGTTCTCCGTGCTTCCCTTTTCCCTCTTGCCAACCCGTGCAGCTGTTAGAACTACAGGCTATAAAAGGAAACTACAGGCTTCAGATACAAATTGATAGGGCTCGCAAGCACGGTGTACAAGGAACCTTTCGGCTACGAAAGGTGTGAATCACTTCAGAGGAGCCCGATCCAGTGATAAGAAGGATGGCTTTCTTCGCAGTCTAATTAATCTCTCTCCCTCCTTCCCCCCCTCTCTCGCTCCTGTCTTCCTCAAAAACCCAGAGAAGGGCATTAAACACTATTTAAATCCAACGTGGTAGCGTACTATAGAAAAAATAAATCGGGCATGAGGTTTGTATCAGGTTTCACCGCGCAAATACAAATAGAGTTAATTATCCCAGCTCGGGGGGGAAAAAAATGCAAGAAAAAAACTCTTTCCCGCGCGCGATGTTATTGCACCAAATTCGTAATTAATTCAGTCCTATTGATGTAAACCCCAAAATGCGTTCTGGAAGTCGACATTCGCCAATATTAGTGGTGCTAATATTGAAGAAGGAGAATGGGAACAGTATTATATATACTGGCCGGGACAGAGCAGTATAGACGTTTCATCGTGTGCTTAACAAACATATTTTACAATTACCACTAATCACAGCAGATAATTGTAAATTAAAACTACGCTGGCTGATCCCCCATGCTGTAGGCTTAATTGTTTAGCTTTTAACGCCGGGGAAATCGTAAATGAAACATCAGAATAAGAAAGTAATTAAATATAATAATTGGCTGATGACATTAGAGGTGAAACAAAAACCACCTTGGAGCAATATTACTACCG